TAAGGGAACGTCACGACCTGCCCCTCCCACCCGGACTGTGGTTCCTCCCTCCGACAGAGCTTCGCCCTCGCAGGTAGGCTCGGTTTTTCAAGGAGGGGGGGGGGGGKGGCATACTGCGAAGCCACACGGGCCTGCAGGGCCCGACCAGCGTTCGCAGCCTAAAACCCTGAAAACAAGGGCTTACAGGCCCTGTGTCGTTTCAGCCTGAAAGCCTGAAAATGAGGGCCTACAGGCCCTATGTCATTTCAGCCTAAAACAGGGCCTTCCAGGCTCTGAGTCTTTTCAGCCTGAAACGGAGGGCCACTTTCGCGCCCTCATAAGATCGACCTGCCCTGACATCCAGGCACCAAACCAGGGTTTTCGGAACAGGCTATTTTTGGACTGTTCCCACGACAACCTCAACAGGAGCTGCAGCGCCAGGCCCTGGCTCGTTTTGGCATTGGCAAGAGCAGCCTCCTGGACTGCCCCACCCTGCAACTGCAGGCAGTCGGAGGCAGTCAGGAGGCAGGCCGAGGTAGTACATAGGGAGTTCCCATGCACTTCACGGGAAGGCAGAAGGCAGTAGTCTTCCGGATTCGGCCGCAGCACTCTGGAGGAGCGCTGCAGGAGTAGCTTTAGCACTAGCAGTAGTCTTCAGCGCCGGGCGCTGGTAGGAGTACAGTACTGTTGGAGAGAGAGATGGCTGGCGGAGGCCAGGGAGACTTAACTGTGGTGCCATAGCTCCCGCTTCATCTTCGAGGTACCTGCATCAAGGCGCCAACTTCACAGGTTAGTACCGGACTGAGAGAGAAAGAGAGAGAGAGTTCTTCTTCTTCCTCTTCTAAGTCCACCATCTCTTCTTCACCCTCTCGCTACCTGACTTCTCAGTATCTGCGGACTACGAGAGAGAGAGAGTTATGACTTTGGGACTTGACGACATTGGATCCAGACTCGACATGGGGATTCAGACATTTGATGAGGGATTATTTGGGACCTGTACCGAAGACTTGGCGTTGACAACATTCCCATCTTCCCTTCTTCTTCGTCTAACCCCCCTCTTCTTCGTCTGTGTATGGTTGGGGACTGGCACATTCTTCCTGTGTGAGCGCCAGGCCCCTTCACACCATGGAATGATGATGATGTGTGTTTGAGGCTGCATTGCAACATTGATTGTTCGTATCATTGGTAATTAAGACTTCTGCTACGCTATCTTGTACTTTGTGAGAGAGGTCGGTTCTTGTTCTGGTCTGCACCGTTACGGTATGCGACAACTATGAGGAGGAGGAGGATGGAGGAGCGAGACCTTATTTTGGATTTCCAGGTCCATCACCATGCGGTGACGACGATGAGGAGGCCACAACGGAGGAGGAAGAGCATAAGATAAAGGAGGGGGAGCCTGCGATGGAGGAGGAGGAGGAGGAAGAGAGTTTTCGATAGAGGACTATGGGATGGATGGAGGAGGAGGAGAGAACTACGAGGAGGAAAAGCCCACGACAGAGGATGGGAAGCGTGCAATGGAGGATGAGGAGGAGAAATAGGAGGAGGATGGAGGAGGAGGAGGAGGAGAAATAGGAGGAGGATGAGGAGATACAAGAGGAGGATAGGAGGTGACAATGATCATCATGACGCTTGATGATGATGATGATGATGATGGTGATGATCATGATGATAGATACAAGAGGAGGATAGGAGGTGACAATGATCATCATAATGCTTCATGATGATCAGAGAGAGAGAGAGAGAGAGAGAGAGAGAGAGAGAGAGGAGGAGTTACAAGAGAAGGAGGAGGAGAACTACGAGGAGGATGGAGGAGGATCGAGACCCTGTTTCTGATTTCCAGGTCCGCCTCCATGCGGTGGTGATGAGGAGGCCACAACGGAGGAGGAAGAGGAGAAGATGGAGGAGGAGGAGTCTTCGATAGAGAAGGAGGACTACGAGAAGGACGGAGGAGGAGGAGAGAACTTAAAGGACGGAGGGCCTACGACAGAGGGCGGAAAGCCTGCAATAGAGGAGGACGAATAGGAGGAGGTACAAGAGGAGAGGATAATTACGAGGAGGATGGAGGAGGGGGTGACGACAATCATCATGATGGTTGATGTGTGTGTGTGTGTGTGTGTGTGTGTGTGTGTGTGTGTGTGTGTGTGTG